GGTCAGAATATGTCTTTATTTTTTTCTTTTTCATTATCAACAGTTTAAGGAGACATACAATTCTGGGTTTTCATTTATTTCTTCTTAATACTTTGAAGCTTTTCTTCCATTGTCTCCTGGAACCTAGTGCTGCAGGAAAGAAATCTGCTGAAAATCTTATCATTTCTCTGATTGTTTGTTTCCTGTGAAAGTTTTAGGATTTTTTATTCTTGAGATTTTGATGTATCTAAGTATAAATTAATATTTATCTTGCTTGGTACTTGAATATACTTCCAAACTGTGGATTCATACTTTCCTTCAATTTTAGAAAAAAAGATTTATAACTCTTAGACTATTCTCTCATATTCTGTCCTTTGTCCTGGCATGTCTATCAGATATATCTTGGAGGAGCCTCTCACTTATTTACCATTTTGATGAACTGATACTTCATTTAAAAAAATTTTTGTCCTTTTTAATTATCTTGCTCTTTGGGTAAGTTCCGTAATAATAGTGTCTAGTTAATAAGTTCTTTCTTGACTGTGTCTACTCTGGAATTTATCCCATCTATTGAGTTTTTCATTTTCATGACTATGTATTTTTTGTTGCTGAGATTTTTGTTTATATTATTTTTCAAATTTCTGTCCTTTTGTGTAATTACTTTCTCCTTATTAATATAAATTATTCCTTTTTAGCACTGACAATATCCTATACATACATAAGTCTTTGTTATTAATACATTGTTTGTAAAATTAATTTCACCAGAAGTGAATTCATGTTTTGTTATGTGATTCTGCTGGCTCTCTTTCTTGATGTTATGTTTTATTCATGTGCCTTAGAATTTTAATTGAGGGAGGGTGTCTTTATGCCACTTTTAACTCCTCTTTTTAACCCCCTTTGTTCTCACTTCTATCTAGTAGTTGTGGCTTCTTTCACTTAGCTTCCCAAGGTGCCCGTACAGAACAGCTGTTTCTGTTCTGTGGTGATATTGGGAATATCTGGATCCAGCCACAGAACTATGTGGGGTGGCCTGACTGATTCTTTGTTCTTCAGCCTTTGTGGGCTTGCAGATTACCAAATGCAGCAGCATTGGACAGTGGTTTGCATCTGAATATTTTTTTCCCCCAATCTCATTTTCCTTCATATACCATGGCTTTAAGCAGAGCTTGAGTCCAGATTGTTATCTCATAGTGTACTTTTAGGTTCTTTTGTGCCCATCAGGAGCCAGGCTGCTGGCTCCCATGGCCTGTGTATAGACAGGAAGCCCAGCAGCCTGAGGCTTCAACCTTGCCTACCATGTTGTGTTTCTGTTCATTTTCAGTTACACAAAAAATATTGTTTTGAGCACTGCTTATCTTCCTGATTTTCTTTTTGATATTTAATCTGTCACTGCTATATATTCAGAGCAAGGGAGTGCACCAGAGTTGAATTGTCAACTTGACCAGGAGTAGAAGCTTAAATATTTGTATTTAGCTTTCAGCACCTGAAAGAAATAACCTTGGAACTCTGGAACACGGCCAGGGGCCCTGTAGGAATCATGCCTGTCTTTTTCATCTTTATATCCCAAGTACCTGTCATAGTACTTACACATAGTAGAGTCTCAACAAACAATATTTGTTGCATAATTGATGTATCAAATATAGTCAAGTGACCTACATAGCTAATACCATATGTGTATTTATATTTATTCTATCAAAACAGATAAATATCACTGGGGAACTTAGGAAAAGCAGAAGAATGATCATGTCTCTTGTCTATGACTTCTGTTGAAAATGATCCCACATGTTATCTCTTTAAACAAGAAAGGAATATTAATCTCACAGTTTCTGTTCTTCAAAGTAGAAACCCCATTACTTTTATTAGACATTTTACTTTCTGAAAATAGAACAAGTATAACCTGAACAAGTGAGAACTCATTCATGTTGATTAGGTTTCCAACAGGTCCAACACTCAAAGCCAGAGAGATTTTCAAATGGATATTTTAAGGCAGAGATCTATATGTGGCTTCAATATGCAGGCAGCTGTATCAATCAACTTTTGCTACATGACATACCGTCTTCAAACACAGTGACTTAAAACAAAAAATCATTCTTTTAGTTCACGGTCCTGTGGGTCAGCAACATGGGCTGGGGGTGCTGGGTGGGTCAGCTGATGTGTCTGATCTCCACTGGGCTCACTCACCTGTTGCTGGTCAACTGCCTGGTAAGCTGGGGGCTTGATGGCCTGAGGCAGCTCAGCTAGGATGGCTAAGCTCTGCTCCAACAGGCTAGCCCAGGCTTACTCATGTGGAGATGGTTATGGTGGACCCCAGAGAGTGAGCAGAGGTAGCTATAAAACCTCTTTATAGCTGTAAAGTATATCTTATTTATCTTTATAGTTATAAAGTAAACTTAGTACTCACACAGTGTGGCTTACTCTCTTCTATGGGTCAAAGCAAGTTGAAGGGTGGAAAAACATCCTTCACTTCTTAATGGGAGGAGCTGTGGCCATCTTTGCCATCTACCATGGTCCCACTGTCCTCTCCAGAAGAGACTGTGTAACTCTCATTAGTGTCTCAGAATATTTCCTCTAAAAAATCAATATTTTAGATCATTTCACTCCTGCACATCAGGAACAAAAGTGTTTAGGAGATCTAACTGATGGATATATCTATTTAAAGCACTGCTTGAAGCTGGGCTCGGTGGCTCAGCCTGTAATCCCACGCCTTTGGGAGGCTGAGGTGAGTGGATTGCCTGAGCCCGCGGGTTCAAGACCCACCTGGGCAGCGAGACCTTATCTCTACAATAAATCAAAAAATTAGCCGGGCGTGGTAGCGCGCACCTGTAATTCCGGCTACTTGGAAGGCTGAGGAGGAAGGATCGCCGGAGCCCAGCAGGTCGAGGCTGCGGTGGCCGGGAGCGGCCACTGCACTCCAGTCTGGGCGACAGAGTGAGACTCCAACTCAAAAAAAACCCAAAAAAACACTGCTTGGTTGTATAAATGAGATTAAAAAATTTTCCTATTGAAAGGTACACCTTGTATCAAGGCATTAAGATAATTCTCTCTGACTTCTATACCCAGCCTGAAGAGTAAGAACTCTTGTCTAGTGTATCCATTAGCCTCTATTGGATAACAAATCACCCCAGGTGTTAGTGGTTGAAACAACACCATTTATTTGACTCATGTTTTCAGGACTCAGCAGATGAGGCTGTCTGGGCTCTCACGTGTCTGTAGTAAGTTGCAGGTGGGCTAGGTGGCTCCGATTCTGGGGATTGACTGTTGTCTTGATGGGGGTGTTAGGGCTTCTTGTTTCTCTTCATTCAGCTAATTAGTCTGGGCTTGTTCACTCAGGAGAATGAGTGGAAGCACACAAGATCTCGTAATGCCTAGCTAGACTTGTTTCTGCGGGGTCAAAACAAGTTACAAGTCCAGCCCAGATTCACTAGGTGGGGAAGCAGACTCCAACTCTTGCTGGAAGGAACTGCAAAGACATATGACAGGGAAGATGGAAAACCCTGGCCAATTTTGTAATCTTCCATATCTATACTCTTCAAGAAACTCCTCACATCTCAAATTTAAGTTAATGTTGTCCCTGCTTATTTTCCTCCTATTAAATAGTAGTATGTGTTTAATAGTAGTGGCAGCCATACGCGTTTAAAACAGCTTACAATCCTTTCACTACTAATTAATGGCTACCTCCTCTATGACTGATTTTTATATTACTATTAATACTTTAAGAGCAAGACCAAATTATGTCGATGTACTTTATTTTTAAAAGAAAATGATTTCACATACTCTTTGAATCCATTCTCCTGTTCTTTAAGCCAACCTCACTTGTGCCTGAGTTGTCATTCTAAAAGGTTTTTCTAGCTGGCTGTTGAAGAATCCTTAAGGTTCTCTCAGTCATACCCTTTAGCTTGGCATTTGAGAATCTGTGTGATCTGGCCTCTGTCCACCGTTTAGATTGTATTGTTCTTCATTTTCCTCTGAGCACTAGATTTTACAGTTAAACAAGATTTCTGGGTGTTTTGTGAGCACATTTGCTCCACACCAGTTGCTCTCATTTTTGGTTGTCACTAAATGTGTGTATGTGTGAACACGCACTACTGACATTTAGAGGATAGAGACCAGCAATGCTGCCACACATCTGTCAATGCACAGGACCATCCCCACAACAGAGAATTATCTGGTCTAAATATCAATAGTGCTGAGGTTGAGAAAAACCTGCCCTCCACATTCCTGCCTCTGGGTCTTTTTATCATGGTACCTCATCCCAGAAAGGCTTTTCTTCAATGCCTGCTGGTTAAATATTCCCTGCCCTTAAAAAGTCAGCTTGAATGCTAAGTTTTCAAGAAAACAAATCCTGTATGCCCCCAGCTTCAACGTTGTGGCTCTCAGAGTCCGTTCCATACATCACAGAAGTGCCTACCGCTTAGTATGTTTACAATTATGTGTACCTATTATTATTATTATTTAATTGTTTTTATTGTTCCTCTCATATTTTGGTTAAGTTCTTGCGTATTAACTCTTTTTTTTTTTTTAGGTTAGAAAGTACAGTGTATTTAGAAAGTAAATTAGAGAGCGAGAAAGAGGAGATTCACCTCCCCAAGGTAGGGGAGGAGGCCAAAGCCAGGAAAATGGCCAGACCATAGCTCACAGAGCACATGGCCACACCATAGCTTAGCAAGGCAATGGCTACAATGGCCTGGCAATGGTGGTGGCAATGGCCTAGCAATGGCTGTGTATTAACTCTAGATGGACTGTGTATTCCTGGATGACAAGGGTCCCATCTTATCTTGTTTGTCCTAGAGCATTTACCATGTGCTTTACACACAGTAGCTGCATAATAAATATCAGTTGAGTGAGTGAGAAATGTGTGTCTTGCCATGTCTTTAGATATGGTTACTCCTTCCAACAACTTTCTTAAAGGACTTAGTTAAAAAAAATTCAAGAGGTTGAATCTGAGTTGTTTTTTTAAAATGATTTAGGTTAGAAAACTGTGAGAAATAATTTTACAGTGCATTTACTTATGTTTATTTCTACAGCTGTTTAGTGAAAAAATAAGTGGAGCTGAAGGAACGAAACTAGATGACGAATTTCTTGATATGGAAAGGGTAAGAGAATTTTAATGTTAATTTTACTAGAAATTGATTTTCACTGTGATAGGAGATATACAGCTATATCTAGGATGTTTAAATATAGGTGTGGATTATGCAGTCCAAAAGGCAATACTGTCCCACTTCCAAGCCCAGATCAGATCCTTCCCCTGTAACCACATCCAGTCTCGGCAGGGTGAGGAGTGAGATGGGATGTGGCTAACTGGTTCCCTCTAGTGGCCAGAAGTCAGAATCCGCAAAAGATGGGCAATGTTGACAGTTACTCCAAGGCCAAAGTAACTGGGGTTATATATCTCCGAGAATCAAAATGTATTTCTGGGACAAGACCTTTCAAATATATAATGATTTGTTTACAGTGTGGAAGAATCTGTTATCGTGCATTGCAGCAGCTGCCTAGCAAATAACGTTGTGTCCTGGTTCTACCACTAGAATTAGCACTGTGAAAGTGAATAAGTTTTATTTCATCTTTTTTGAAATACAGAGATGATAATGTGAGCCCTGCTTGGCTCACATGGATGTTGTGATAATTATGCAAAGCTTTAATGTATTTGAAAGAATTTTAAAAAATACAACTGACTTGGTACAGAAATGATTGTAACACACTCCAAATAAAAATTGTAGACTCTCTGCACCTCAACATGTTTCCTGGTCAACTGTGTGGAGTCACTTACATGGAGGCAGAAATGGGACCACCAGTAATTACCAACATACTCAATTTCCTCTCCCGTTGTCTGGATCTTTTAAACATAGTCTAGTTTTAATAATTAGACTTCCCAGAGGAGGAATGGAGGAGACTAAGCAAAGCATCTACCTTCAGGTGTAACATCAAGGATACAGGATATACCAGGTAGCAGAGATGTCAGGAGGTGCTGAGAAAGTAAGTCCAACTACAGATTGTGGCTTGGGAGAGCACTGTCTCCAAGATACCTTTGCCCTGGTCAAGCCATTTTACAGAGCGTTCACTGTTTTCTGGCTGAGAGCTATTAAGTTTCTACAAACGTTCATGCCTTGAGGAGAAAAGCTTATTTTGTTTTTGTTTTTGAAAGAAGTTAATTTATAAAAGTTGGAAACTATGGAAATGTTTTCACATAATTGAAAAACCTCAAATTACTTTTAAAAATCTCTTAATATGCAAAAATAGGTATGTAGCTTTTATTGCTAACAAATTGATTCAGTTGACATGTTAAATTTAAAAGCTTATTTCAGTACCAGGTGTGGTAGCTCACACCTGTAGTCCTAGCACATTGGGTGTCTAAGGCAGGAGGATTTCTTGAGGCCAGGAGTTTGAGACCAGCCTGGGGAACATTGTGAGACCCTTTCTGTACCCACCCCCAAAAAGCACATTTTAGGAGTTTTAGTTTCGATCGATAGATTGAGATTCTTTTTGTTTACCTCATTTTCCCCTCAAAAACTCCAGTGAGTGACAGAAGAAATATAAAAATAAAATCTATTATCTCATTTATTACAGCAGTTTAAAACACAGAAGTATATAATATATGACCAAAAGTGTTAAGGACTTCCTAGAAGAGATGCATTCAGTGGGTCAGACCCACTTGAAACTTGACACAGAAATGACAAAGTAATGGAAAAATATAATCCATGATAAATGCTAATAATACAAAAATAGAGAAACAATAATAACAGTAACATAAAAGTAAAATTTGATGCACAAAAGCACTAAATGAAAAAACTTTTTAAAATTACATGAAGATACAGTCAATGTAGTCTATCAGGAAATTATAATAGTCATGAACCATTTTGCACTATATAACATAGCATCTAAATATATAAGGTAAAAGCTGTCAGAAATGCGTAAGAACTCACAAAAATAAGAGCAAAAGACTTTGCATATCTCTCTCATAAAAGATGAAATTGATAACAATCAATAGGCTCATGGAGAATTTGCATAAAATATAATTAACGACTTTGATTATAAATGTATTTATAGAATTTAGATTACCTAAATTCTCCAAATGGAGAATGCACATTATTTTCAAATTCCTTTGGAGTAATTACAGTAATTAATCATGTACTTGGCTACAAAAAAATACTCAATTCATTTCCCAAAGTAAAAACGTAGAACATGAGAATTACAAGGGAGGTGTAGCTTCTAAATTCTGGATGTGTGGAAATTTTTTAAAATGTAAAAATATTCTTAGTTTAAAGAGGAAATGAAAAAGCAAAATTGTAGATTATTGAGGCATGAGTGACAAAATTTTGTATGTCAAAACCAGTTATATATGGCTAAATCTTAAATGCATTCAATAGAAAAAAATGTTGGGAGAACATGAATAAATCACATAGTCCAAGAAGGTAAGAAAATAATAACGAATGAAAGCATTCTAGGTAGAAGGTAGAAATCAACATGGATAAAAGGAGAGATTAATAAAATAGAAAACAATAACGGCACAAAGGGAAGCAATAAAGCCAAGAGCTGTTTGCTGTTGTGGTTGTTGTTGCTGTTGAAAAGCCATAAAATGTGACTAAGTGTGACCAAAGGAAAAATACAAGTAAACTACATGAGGAATAAGAAAGAGTATATACCCACAGGTAGGATTTTTTTAAAAATAAAATATCGTAAACAACTATCAGAAACCAGGGCTGCCAGCAACTCGCTGGCTCAGGGACTGAGCCTGGGAGAGTCAGTACAGAGGCTTTAGGTTATCTCCTGGGCAGAGTGCCAGCGTTAAGGGAGCATTCCAGATTTAATCAGCCGACAAAGATGCCTCCACACCGAGTAGACTTTACAAAAATAATTTTCACCACTTTGCTTTCTTCTATTTCTCCTGATGATTTGGCAAGGTATTTGCGTAGCATTTTGTTAACTTGAAAGTGTGCGTGCACGCGCTCACACACGTGCGTGCACATGCACACTCACACATGCACTCACCCATCACAATATCCCTCATTATTCTAGAAGGGAGGTTTTGTTTGTGTTTCTTTGTTTTGAAGCTGCACGAGCTATCTTTCCAATGATCATCTTGACAGCCCATGTCAGTCAATATGTTGAATGGGCATCCTCTTTAATTTGTAGAGTTTATTTCTAGTTTTGATGCCTGGCCTTGTCTGGAAGCAGTTCTAGTATGCACATATCAGTGCCTATGAGACACTTGCAGGTTTTGGCCATTTGCTTCTTGGGCTTCCACTCCCCCACCCCAAAGATATAGAAGGATCTAAAATAGAAAATATCCCCCTCTAATTCCTCTCATCATCATCTTTCAGAGGTGACTCTTAGCTTCCCGGTGTTTTCTCCATGTCCAAAGTGGGTTGTATACATTGAAGGGACATTCTAAGTTGTATTTTAATTAATATCTAATTTATTAACTTATAAATCTAAAACCTGTTTTTTCTTAAGCTTTAAGCTGATCTTATGAATCATTATTTATAAACTTAGCAATTTTGCTGTAAAAATAATCATTATTTTTGTTAATTTTCATTTTAGGTTCCATTAGCTCATAAGCTTAAGAAATTCAGTCCTTAAATATTTGCCACCAGTTATGTATTTAAGCAAATTTCCTCACACATTTCAAACTACAATTACAAAGACAACATATAGAATTCCCTCAAAGTTTTCATCAAATCTAAAACAACCTTTTCCTAAGAACTTAAATTTTTTATAACTGTAATAAAACATGTATATTTAGGTGATCAAATTCTCTTAAACATTTCAAAGATCTTTGTAAACAGCTGAACATACCAAAGAGAGCTCCAAGTTACAAAACTTGTTACTAGGCCAAATGCACATTCATACACACACACACACACACACACACACACACACCACACGATTATCAGTAATATAGGTTTGATTCATTTCTTTATCATTTGTGTATTGTCTTTAAAAAAATTTCCTGGGATTCCAGATTGAGGCATTCAAACTAAGGAAAACAAATACAGTTTCGGGTTGGGTGAGATTGCTCAATTGAAAGCTTGTGACCCTGATGAGATCAGAGTTTTGTTTTATTTAATTTAATTAATCAGTTAATTAATTAATTAATTTAAAAACAGCACTGTCTTTCTTCTTTATTAGCCTAGGCCTTTCTTTCTTTCTTTCTTTCTTTCTTTCTTTCTTTCTTTCTTTCTTTCTTTCTTTTTTGACTAGAGACAGGGTCTCACTATGTTGCTCAGACTGGTCTTGAACTCTTGGAATCAAGTTATCCTCCTGCCTCAGTTTCCCAAAGTGCTGGGATTACAGACATGAGCCACTGTGCCTGGCCTGATCATAGTTTTTTAAATTACAAAAAAGGAATTGTTTTCTATCATGAATCACTCTGTAGCTTTCTTTCTTTCTTAGCAATGCACTTTGGGCATCCCCCCTCCCCCCTCCCACCCCCAGTATGTATAGATCTTCCTTATGTTTTTTTCCTTATTTCTAAAGAGTCTTTTTTTACTCAGATGTTTTGTAGTTAGTCCAATCAATCTCCTATTGATTATAATTTAGGTTGTCTTCCATTTTTAATACTACATAAAATGGTCTAATGAACCTTTTTTTACTTTACTGCAATTTACTAGTGTGTTTCTAGATGATAAATCCCTAGACATATAATAGCTGGCATATTAGTAGGCCCAGCAATAAGCACTTCCACCTTGATCTCCAGAAAGGCTGTATCATTTTACATTCCCGTTGTATTTGAAATGACTCATTACACCACACTCATGTAATACCTAATATTGGGTATAATTGAGTTTATAAATGTTTTCATCAATCTGGAGAGGTAAAGTATCTCCTTTTAGTTTACAGTTCTGAATGTTTTTTCCACTATTTGTAGCAGCCTGTGTTTTTCCTCTTTTATGGATTGTTAGTTTATGTTATTTCCCTTCTTTCCTGTGTGCTTGTTTAAATGGGAGTTTTGAGTATTATGAATGCTAATTCTTTGCCCTTTATATATTTTTCTTCCTGTTTTCCACTTTTGTCAAATATATTGTCTTTTACTGTTCAGTTTTTAATTTTTATGGAGTCAGAATTTTTGTTTTTATTTATTACTTTAGAAGCTTCTTCCCACCCTTGTATTTCAAAATAGTCTCCTCTACAAGTTAGTCATTTTATAGTCTTTATTTTGGTCCACATTTTTAATCCTGTATGTCATATAAGGTATTAATCTGACTTTATTATCAAGCTTTAACAAAAAAAGAAAAAAATTGCAATTATGATGAGATTCAAATTAATTTTACATGTTAATTTGAGGAGGATGTACATCTTTCCATCTAGTAACATGGTTTTTAAAATAGAGTTTTAAAAACCATGGTTTTTAGACTAGAGTCTAAAAACTAGAGTTTTCCATCTAGTAACATGGTTTTTAAAATAGGCATTGTGAATTTCTCATTTGTATTCCCCATTACTGCATATTTTTTATTGCCTCTACATTTTCTTTTGGGCTATTGATGGTGTGAAGTAAAGGCATTGAAATTTGCTTTAACCTTATTGCATATTCTTATATGAGTTCTCTGGTTAACTAACAACCATAAAGTCCAGGAACAGTTTTGCAGAGGAAAAGTTCACTCTTGAAAGGGTTAACTTTCAAGGAAATTTTTAAGAAACCTTTGATGTTAACACCTTCTGACCATAACACAAATAAATGTGCTTATTTTAGTTATGATACTAATGATTATGATTCTTTTATTGTTGATTACTGAGGTAGTTTCTAATATGAGTCATTACTGTGGCATCCTTATGTAAGTATAGAAGTTCAAGTTCGTCCAGCAGATAAGGAAAGTTTGGCCCTGTCTAGTCTTAGTTTTGAGAGACCTCCAGGACTATATAATCTAGTGGAATATAACAACTCTTCTAAGTTTTATAAATATTATATTAATACTCATTTTGATGTTAGAAAATTAACTAATACTCTCCAATATCATTGGGAGGAGGTGATGTCCTAAAACTTAAAAAATGAGAAAATGTTGCCACTCCTAAAATTAATTAATGCTCTCTAACATCATTGGGAGGAGGTGATGTCCTAAAATTTGAAAAATGAGAAAATGTTGCCTCTCCTGTTGAAAACAGTTATTTGGATTAAAATTGTCATAATAATGTTATAAGTATTAAATTAAAGAAAATTACTTATCTGTTCTGTGAGTTCATTGAATTTGTCATTTACTAACATTTAAATTTTTTTGTTTTGCTTTTAAGAAAATAGATGTTACCAATAAAGCTGTTGCAGAAATTCTTTCAAAAACCACCGAATATCTTCAGCCAAATCCAGGTAAAGTTAGAAAATGTCTTGAAATTTTCTACTGTTTATTTACTATCACAGACTTTAATAACCCATGTTTGCTTGGCATTTGGTTTGCATGATCTGGAAACAATGTCCTCTGTGTCCCAATAATGGAATTCAGTTTTTAAAGTCGAATCTCCAGTGACCAAAAGTAGTTGCAGTCAATCCTAGCTGATGAGAAACAAAACAGACATTTCTGTGAACTTTGTTTGACATCATTGGATGCAGTGTTGTGGTCTTAGCAACAAGGCAGTCCTGAGCAATGACATTTTTTATGAGATACCTCAGAAAGCCACTAAACATTTAGTGAATATTTTTTTACTCAGTTATTTCCCCCCTTAAAATGATTTCTTTAAATTTCTGCCATTCTTTTCTAAAGGTGTATGTTAATTTGATAGAACTTTCACTTCATGGGTCAAATGCTTTGGAAATGAGACATGATGAATATGAAAACAATAGTAGAAGTCCATCAACTTCTCCACAGGCAGTCTTAATTCCTAAATCTTGAAGCAGCATCCATTGATGAAGTCTTCCTAGTTTGTAAATTATAGGAACCAATAGAGGGCGCCCAAGCTCTGGGTTCTGTGGATTTCCAATGCTGCCTTTACTTTTTAGGCATTTATTATTTGCACGTAGTTCTTATGATTCCCTTGGCTGTAGGAAACAGCGCAAACCTAATCATCTGAAAATAGAGAATATAAAAATTAGGAACATAAATTTTCTCGAATATATTCAGGGAAGAGAGCAGATAAAACTTCATTAAAATCGTATTGATGATAATAGCTTAAAAAAAAAACAACATAATAATGTATCTTCTTCCTGACCTCATCAATGATTGAGTGAGTCACATAGGTTTCTTTTCCTGCTATATCAGTCAGAAAATATTTGATAAACCTCTGTGCTAGGGTGCTGGAATACACTGTTAAGACGGATATGGTTAAAGAGCTGACACTGGAATGGGGTAGGAAGGCGTTGGCCAACAAAGTATCCACTGACTACAGGTCTCTGCTCTCTGCTTATTCCTGGAAGAGGCAGCGCTTGCATCCTCTAATCCAGTGTGATGGCCCACATTCACATGCCTGCTACATCCCACACCCCCATCCCTGACTGTGGGAAAGAAGGGGGGAGGGGGGAGAGAGAGAGAGAGAGACAGAGAGACAGAGACAGAAAGAGAGACAGAGAGAGAATGTGTGTGTGTGTGTGTGTGTGTGTGTGTGTGTGTGTGTGTGTGTGTGTGTAGAGGCAGGTGGGTAGTAAATCTAGGGCCGGGGACCTGGAGGATAAATGCTTTAAGGATAAATGCAAAGTTCAAAAGGCTGGCAAGACCTGGCTACTCAAAGTGTGGTCCACTGACCAGCAGATCAGCATCCCCCGAGAGATTGCTGGACATGCAGAATCTTGGGCTCACCCCAGACCGACTGAATCATATTTTAACATGATCCCTGGGTTATTTGCGTATGCACAAAAGTTGAGAGGCACCGGTCTAGAATACATTTGAAATAAATATATAATTATTAAAATAGAAGAAAATAAAAGTTTATTCCTTGACAATCTAAATTTATATCAAATATCACGAGCTAGTATGTAATTCACTCTCTAGCCTAAAGAATGAAATCTCAAGTCCTTAGCTTGGTGTTGAATTCATAGTCACAATTTTTTTCATGAATATTTCCCATTTTGTCCTCTATTAATTTTTTTTAGGCCAAACCAGCCTACTTCTTGTCCACTGATTTTATACCATTAGAATTCCCTCTTCTGTACTTTTTGGACACTATTTTAGGGCTTCTTTTTAATCTTTTTTTCAGCATATTGCTATCTTTGTCCTTTCCTTGCAAACCAGACTTTATTTGCATAATTACATCATGCATATTCTGCCTTCTAACAACTAGGCCTTGAGCTCATCGAGGGAAAAGGCTGTTTAAGGTCTCTCTGGAGTCCCAGTAAGAAGCACAGCATGTTGCATGGAGCCCAAGATTGACAAATACTCCTTGCTCAAGTCAGAGGAAAAAAAAGAAGTAGCAGTGACTGCCAGTCACCTACCTAGGGGTTGGGGAGCAGAACTGCATCTGAGGACCGCAACGCAAGGCTAGTTAACTATGGGAGGAAGGGTCTGGCTCCTTCTATGGTTCTGCCTCCTCAACAGGAGACCCTCCTGACTCTGAATATCTTCACTCTGAATCAATTATTGCAAGCATGTTGTACGTGAATGACCAGTTAGCAGTTTGAAACATCCTCCTCAGCAATATTATTTTTTGTTTACATTTGGTCCCCAGGAAGCATGTGGTCTGCACAGGTGTCAGTGTCTGACTTCAAGTGTTAGCAATTTCAAGGATTCTAAAGGGTCTTACTCCATAGGTGGTGCTTATAATAGCCCTGGTTACTATTATTTGAAGTCAACAACATGTGTCATCATTTCTGTGCTCCATCATGTCTGTGCAACAGTGCACTTAGCACTTTCGTAAATAATGTACAAAATTGAAATGGTCACGCATGGTTATTTTATGCCTCGGGTCTCTGGCCTTTTGTCTAAAGTGACCTCAGTGTTGGCAGCTGCGATTGTTAAATGCTGTGTATATGTCACTTCACCTTGTAACTTTAAGGAATTACAAATGATAATGTTTTTAAGCATACAGAGCTAAGCTAGGAATGCTGAACACTGTGTCGAAGATCCGAGGGCAGGTGAAGACCACTGGATACCCACAGACGGAAGGCTTGCTGGGGGACTGTATGCTGAAATATGGGAAGGAGCTCGGGGAAGAATCCACCTTTGGTGAGTCATCACAGATCATCTGGGAGAACCAAGAACACCTCCTCTGTTGGTTTTAGGTTATGCACAAACCCTTCAATCAAACAAGCTTTGTTATTTTTTCATATTACCAAAGTAATACATGTTCATTGCAGAAGGTTTAGAAAACATAGGTAAGTAAAATAAAGAAAATGCTAGTATTACCCATAACACCATCTCCATGGAAAGCTCAATTAAACTTTTTTCTGTATCCTTTATACTTTATTCTTATGTATACTTATATATCTTTAAAAAAATTCAAGTGGAGCTATAATATATAAACACTTTTGCAGACTGTTTTTTTCCTGCTGACTGTATCATGATCCATGTCATAAAATAATCTTCTACAATATTGTTTTTAAAAGCTGCGTGATACTCTGTGTATTATAGTTTGTTCTCATTTACTAGATTTTTTTTTTCTTTTTAAATTTTTTGTAGAGATGAGGGCTCGCTATGCTGCCCAGGCTGGTCTCAAACTCCTGGCCTCAAGTGATCCTCCTGCCTTGGCTTTCCAAAGTGCTGGGTTTACAGGTGTGAGCCACCATGCTAACTCAATTTTTTCTTTATGTGAAAAAATTTTACATAGCATTTATAATAACCATTTTCAAAGGTAAGTCTTTGAGGATATCCAAAATTGTGTTCTTTGACATAATTTAGATGAAATTCCTAGTAGTAGAGTTGCTGGGTCAAGAGAAGAGAATGCCTACTTTTCAGGTTTTAAATGATTATTCCCAAGTGACCCTTCAGAAGGGTCCCAACGCAATTAATAAACGTAGGAATTATCTTTTTAGTTTACTTTTAAATAAGTTATAATTTGATATGTAGTATACAAAGTGATATCTCAGTGCTATTATAACTTTACTTTTTGGATTATATGTGAGGTGGCATTTTTGTCGTGTTTGTCTTTGTTTTCGTGAACTGTGTATTTTTGTCTTTGCCTGTGTTTCCACTGGTGGGGGGTCTATGTTTTACCTTACTGGCTCATGAGCTCTTTTAATGGTTAGGATATTTGCTTTTTGCCTGCCTTATATGTTGAAGCTTTGTCCCAGGTGGGCATTTACCTTCTGACTTTGTATACTAAGGTCATTTTAATAGAGAGAGTTTTATTTTTTATTTAGGGGAGCTCATTAGTCTTACTTTATGGTTTCTAGTTTTGGCATCATGTTTAGAAAATCTTTTCCATTGCACCCCCCTGCATATGAGGTGAATGTTTATTTATACTTTCTTTTGAAATACATTTTCTTGTCTTACTTTTAAATTTTCAACCTCATGCATTTGCTAGTGATACTGTACAATAGGGTTCTGCGTTTGCATTCTAGCAAAGAGCTAGTTGTTTCAGCACTTTATTAAAAAGTCCAGCTTTTTCCTGCTGATTTGAGATCCTTTTATTATAGACTAAATTTTATTATAGACTAAATTTTTATATTTTAAGTTTGTATCTGGTCTTTATCTTCTGTCTCTCTCTTTTTTTTTTTTTTTTTGAGTTGGAGTCTCACTCTGTCACCCAGACTGGAGTGCAGTGGCCGCTCCCGGCCACCGCAGCCTCGACCTGTTGGGCTCTGGCGATCCTTCCGCCTCAGCCTTCCGAGTAGCCGGAATTACAGGCATGCGCTACTACGCCCAGCTGATTTTTTGATTTATTGTAGAGATGAGGTCTTGCCAAGTTGCCCAGGCGGGTCTTGAACCCGTGGGCTCAGGCAATGCACTCACCTCAGCCTCCCAAAGGCACGGGATTACAGGCTGAGCCACCGAGCCTGGAGCTCTCTTTTTTTTTAATTTTAAAAATGTGGGGTACCATTCAGGGTCAGGTATAAAAATTGTCATTATGCAGGTACCCTTGTTGATGATGTGTCTCCCCCCACCAGCAGTTTCCCACTACTGCCAGTTCCTTTCTTATAGTATTATGATAATTGTTCAAGGTCCACTTATGAGTGAGAACATGTGGTACTCAGTTCTTTTTTCTGTGATAGATCACTCAGTATTAGAGTCCAAGTCCATCCAAGTTGCTACGAAGTTCATAATTTTGTCCTTCTTTGTGGCTGCATAATATTCCATTCTGTATATATACCACCTTTTTTTCATCCAGTCCTCTTTTGATGGGCAGCATAGTTGGTTCCATGTTCTTGCTATTGTGAATAATGCTGTAATCATCATGCATGTGCAAGTATCTTTTTCATTGAGTGACTTGAGTTCCTCTGGGAGTATTCTCAGAAAGGGGATTACAGGGTCATATGGAAGGTTGATTTTTAGATCTTTTGGGAAACATGCCAAACTGTTTACCACAGAGGTAGTACTAGTTTACACTCCCACTAGCAGTGTAGAAGTGTTCCCTTTTCCCTGCATCCTCTCCAGCATCTTTTGTTTTTTGAGTTATTGATGATGACCATCCTGACTGGAATTAGGTGGTATCTCAGTGTGGTTTTCATTTGCATTTCTTTGATGATTAGTGAGTATCTTCTGTTTCTTGATCTCTATCCTGTTTTGATCCAGTAGCATGTTGTTTTAAGTATTGCAGTATAAAAATATATTTTACTATAATTTCTTCTAGTTATTTTATTGCAAAAATTTCACTTACTGGCTTTATTTTTTCAGATGACATTTAAGTCACCTTAAAATCTCCTCTACTAATAAAAAGCTTATTAAATTTTAATTGAGATTGCTTTAAGCTAATAAGTTAAATTGGGTGTGTATTGAATTTAATATATTAAGTATTCCAGAAGAGTTTACATGTTTGCTATTCATATAGTGGTAACAAGGCAGGATATAAAATTAGAAGTCAAATATTTGGCCAGAGTAATTATTCTAGGAAATTGGGGGGAAAACTTTTTAAAAACTCAAGTATTAAAACATTAGTGACAGAGGATCACAATATCCTTCAGTGCAGTATAACGTGAATTCTGTTTTATTCCGAGGGTCAGTGGGGACAAGGTGACTTATTCCTTACTCTGATGGCACATCAGTGAGGGAACAGGTGACACTACCAGGCAGACTCTGAAGCTCAAGTACATTCCTGCTGTGTTTCTGGCCTTGGTGACAGTCAGATGGTTTGGTAGCTTCCCAGGTGCCCAGCAACTTAATTAAAGGAACTTGGGTTAAGGGAGAGAACTGTTGTCAACAGGGCATCAGGAACAGATGGAGGTTTGCTGTCCTGAGGAAGAAACTATGGCATTGGTTCTTTTATTCTTGGGGCCACATGCTGGAGCCTCCCAAAGTTGCAGAAACCTCAGTGGGTGGAGGCTGGGCCCCACGCCTCCATGGAAGTCAATTGCGCTAGTCTTGGGCAAGTAGGGGGAATATCGATTCCAGGGACGTGGTGGTCCACATTCAGGACATCGTCTTTGGAGTCTCCAAAGCAACATATTTGAAAACATTTCTGTCAATGCCACATTGGCTAACATTGTGAGGCACTGGGCACTGGTGACAGGGGTGGTGAGGTCAGAGGCGGCACCCTTTGTTTCGCACCTGTTGGGCAGAGTCCACCAATTGGAGAGAGTCCATAGGTGAGGCATGGACATCCTACCTCCAGCTGGGAATGACTTAGAACCAGAATCTGGACAGTTGATTTAAGGAAATGTAGCCTCCCAGGAGGAATGAAACTACTAGTGGTCCAAATGGAGTCCTGGGAAACTTCAGTTGAGAGTAACAGTCTCCACTTCTGTTTTGAAAGATCCTGCAACAAAGTTTCTGCTTATATTTTGCAAGGGCATATCTAGTGTATTTATATTTTCAAAAAGGGAGGTAAGGCGGTGAATACTTTGTCTGTGCCCTTGGCTAGTAGTATAGCAGCTCAAAGGCCAGACTTGGGCTGAGCTTTAAGGTCTTCTTCAAGTCTTGAAATTGAGAAACACCCCCTCCATCTTTTTACAAGATCAATGTGGAAAACCCAAAATATAGAAACCAATAGTTCTGTCTAGTGCAGCATTTCCCAGGAATCTCTTCTAGAGAACCTGCAACCTCATCATGCACAGCAGCCAGGACCAGTTTGCAGTAACCTTGGAGATTATTGCAGATTAACTGGACCGAGATACCAGTCTGTAATCCAGCAAAAACTGCCTGTCGCTGCCCAGGCCCAAAAAGGCTAGCCGGGGCCTCATTGTCTGAGCAGAGCATTCCACCCTGCTGATAGGCTGTCCCATAGGACACTCACTGGCAGGCTTTCTTTGACTTCTAGAGGGTGGGGCCTTCAAACCATCTAAAAGAATACGGGGAGTGGCTTCAAGAAGATCCCACAGCTAGAAACTGAGATGAGGTTTTGTTCACTTATTTCTGTTGTCATCTTTATTGGTTAATACTTAACCCCTGGTGAATGGATGCTTTCATTGCTTACAAAAAGAGATTTTGTTCTTGAACTTCTAGGGAACCCTCCGTGCCAGTTTCCTAAAGTACTAGTTGTTTTTTTTAAAAGGAACTTTATCGTCATCTAGTGGCCAAAATGGCAAGTGCTTTGGTCCGTCAGCCTCAGTTGTATTTTATGTGGTGGTGAAAGAAGGTAGAGAGGAAAATGCTGAAAATAGGAAGATTTTCTTCTTCTTTTTCTTTCTAAGTCAGGATTCTGAGGTCACAGAGCAAGGGCCTTGTTACACCATCATCCCCAAACCTTTGGGAAGGAATTGCATAATAATCACTGTTAATCCAGAATAGTCTCCTGAATAACCTTTTTTATTTGTATTTTCTTTTTTTTATTTGTATTTTCTATTCAAGGCAATGCATTGATAGAAGTTGGAGAATCCATGAAGCTAATGGCTGAGGTGAAAGACTCTCTTGATATTAATGTAAAACAAACTTTTATTGATCCACTTCAGTTACTACAAGACAAAGATTTAAAAGAGATCGGGGTAAGTCTTCTGGACTATAAATATACCTGTTGCTACTTAAAACAATGTTTATATTTAAAATCGTTAGAACACTTCTGCGGGGACTCACTGAAAGCATCGTTTTTGTTTTTTTGTTTTGTTTTGAGTCAGGGATCTCACTCTGTCACCCAGGAGTGTGAGTTGCAAGACACACAGCCTCTGCAGCCTCGACCTACTGGACTCAGGCAATCCTTTTGTCTTAGCCTTCCAAGTAGTTGGAACTGCAGGTGTACGCCAACACACTTGGCTAATTTTTTAATTTATTGTAGAGACAAGGCCTTGCCAAGTTGCCCAGGCTGGTCCTGAATCCCTGGGCTCAGGCTGAAAGCATCATCTTATTGTGGGCGACGAAAAAATAACCCAGTTCTATGTCCTCAGGTTCACTGGGGAAGAGTACCAGGATCAATGAGCCCTCTCTGCCCTGGAGATGGAGCCAGGTGATAGCAGGGGATGCAGGTCATGTTCCTCCAGCTTAAAATTCTGTATCTCATTGAAGCCAGTTCAAAGCCAGCTAAAGACCCATATTCCTACAGCCATTTCTCACATGACAAAATGATCCCATAACTCTGTAGTGGATTTTTGATTATCAAAATCATGCCATATTAGTTGCACTTTTAATACGGTCATTATTTTCCATTACCTCTCAAAGAAATCAATATCCAGGAATTGACATTTTTTTATTTGGAAAATGATTAGAAATGGTCTTCTAGAGCACACATGGGAACTGTCGAGTATCTGTAGATAACTGCATGCCCCTTGCTTGGTGGCATTTCTGTAGATGTGCAAAGACAGCCCCAAGAACTCTACCTCGGCAGAGACTTCTACTCTGGAGGTATGAGCGCTCTCTTATGGAACTGCCCAGAAGAGCTTCCTCCAGGAGCTTTCCTACAGGCTCTGATCACAGCCTGGGCCAGCTTGGATGTCATTTGAATTGTGAGATGTCTTTTTTTCCTTTCTTCAGGCCTAGTGATTCTCACAGTGTGGTCCCTGGACTGGCAGTATCCACTTCACTTAGGAAAAATGCACATTCTTGGGCTTCTCTCAGACCTTCTGATTCAGCAATTCTGGGCATGAAGCCCAGCAAATCTATGTTTTAAAAAGTCCTCCAGGTGATTCTGTTGTGCGTTAAAGTTTGACACCCATTGTTTCAGCCCCTCCTTTCCAGAACTCTTGAATGGAAAGCATGAGCCCTCACTTGCCTAACCTGATGACAGAGAAGAGGCTGAGGGGAGTGTGTGAGCTTGGGTTGCCTTGAACACTGGGCCCCAAGGTGGGTGTGCAGTCCAGGAACCAGAGAAGGAATGGATGGGTGTCCGTTTATTAGTTCTTTCTTGGTTCATTCATTTATATTTACTTATCCAACAACAGTGTATTGAGGAGCTGCTGTGCCCTGCTACTGTGGTGGGCATTGGTTCTGTGCTGTTGCCAAACAAGGCCTGGCACATGCCCTCATGATACTCACTGGTACAGGGTTGGGAGACAGGTCAGCAGTTATATTACACTGTCACAGGTGCTGTCGGAGAGACAAGCCCAGGGACATTAGGAAGAGGTAACTCCCTCAACCCTGCCAGATCAGGGAGGACGTCCTAGAAGAGGAGAAGCTGGCCATGCAGACTGGGGTGGGCAGGACATCCAGCACAAGCTGGCTGAATGGTCAGGGCTATGAGCACAGGCAGGTTAGGGGATCTTGATCGTGTGTATGGCCAGGGCATAGGGTGCATGGGGGCAGGGGCGCTACAGAGTGGGGGAAGGCTGGGAGTCATGGAAAATCCTGGATGCCTGTATAGGCATGTAGAGTTTATGCTGAAAGCCAAGGGTATGAAGGGGAATTCAGGAAGGTTGAGTCAGAAGTGAAAGCTCCCTTTCAGGACCTCCCTCAACCTCCCACTCCCCACCTGTGTACCCCTTGGCCCCTCACCCACGCCGTCCTCTCCTTCCATTTAAGGGACAGTGTGTCCTGGTTGCTGTCTCAGGCCAGTCCTTGCTGGGCCTGGGTCTATCAGCTCTCACCTCCTCAGGGACTTTGTCACATCCTGTATCTTCATTCCTTCCCATTCTATCTGTTGGCTTCTTCCCCTTATCAGGTAAACACATCAGCACAGCAGCCCTTGACTCCTGGCTTCACATCTCACACTCTCTGGTCCACTCTCCCTCCCACAGCCAGAGCAATCTCCCTGAGCAACAAACACTCGTACTGCCCACAGATAGTGGAGTAAATGTCCAACCCCTCAGCCCCTTCCGGCTTGGCTCCTCCTTCCCTCTATGACTTTATCTTACACCCTGTCCCCATTTGAACTCTCTGTCCACCCTCACCAAATCATTTCTGGTTCCCAGGTGATGTTTTGCTTTTCTTGCTCTGCCTCTTCCTCTCCCTCTGCCTCTCCCTCCCCTTCTCCCTCTCTGTCTACCTCTACCTCTTCCTCTGTCTTCCTTTGGGAAGCTCTTTGTTCTTTCACCAGACTCCATGGGGTGCTCCTCATATGATGAGCTCTGTTGTTACTTTTTTCTTGTCTTGAGTAGTGAGTTCTTGGAGTAAGGAATCAAGCTTTGTGCACTATTGTAGCTACAAACCTGCCACGTGGTTTGTGCTCACAAATTATTTTTCAATGAACTATTCTAGAGAAGAAGTGACATTCTGAGCTTTGGGGATGACAAAGCATCTTCCCCAATTGCAGAGCCATAAGATCAAATATCTCCTTTGCTGGAATATAGCAATTTTCATTTCTTCTTGTGCTGTTGTCCAGTCCACTGGTTGATATTGCTCTTCTGCCCAGTCAGGGTCTGTATGGTAGCCAACTGTGGACATGCTCATGGATTCTGAGTAGTAAGTGTGAGAAATGTATAAAATACACTTATACTTTAACATTGCAGTTCCTTGTGCAATAAAAAATTTTTCTAAATGTCATCTTGTTACTCAGCTGCTGTTTGATATAGAAACAGTGTAAATCTAAACTTAAATCATATAGATGTTCAAAATTAAGAATCTAGGACTCAGGAAGCCTTTCGTAGTCTCAGCTATGGTCTGTGTAGCTTAGAAATCAGGGGTCAAGAACATATTCACTTAACATAAGGTTGACTTTTGGCTGTGCATATGGCAATACAGAGGGATTTAAAGATCAGCCCAAAGTCATAGAGCATATAAGTGAGATGCTTCTGGCCAGGTATGGTGGGAGAATTGCTTGAGCCTGGGAGTTAATGACCAGCCTAGGCAACATAGTGCGACCTCATCTCTACAAAAAAATTAAAAAGTTAGCCCGGCTTAGTGGCATGCACCTGTATTCTCATCTACTCAGGAGGCTGAGGCAGAAGGATTGCATGAGCCCAGGAGGCCAAGGCTGTGGTGAGCCGTGATTGTGCCACTGCACTCCAGCCTGGGTGACAGAATAAGACCCCAACTCAAAAAAAAAAGAAGGAAGAAAGAAAGAGAGCTTCTGATCTTTGGTTCCATGTGCTCTTTTCACCTAAGCATCATGGAAGTTAGAACCAGCACTTCTCGCTAAAATTAGTAGTGCAAGTCATCTGCATGCTTTGGTGGGACAATCAGTGTTCACATAGACTTTAGATATAAAATATCTGTTTTCCAAGGATTATGGTCATAAGCTCTTAGGGGGCCCTCCCTTACCTTATACAGCTATCCCACTCTACATTGTTTCTGACATGGAATCTCTTTGCTTGAACACAAACTGTGATAGGGAACTCACTCTCACACGAGGCAGCCCATTCCATGAATGAACAGCTATAATTGCTCTATTTGGTTAGTGGGGTTGTAATCTTGTTTGGAAAATTCACCACTTCAGAGGCTGCCTGTCAATCTCTCTCCTTTACATTCTCTTGATAGCATTTTATGCAGTTTTCCATAATTGTTTGGTAACTTTATGGTGATCCATTACTATTCTAAGGAGTAATAGAACTTTGTTTTTCCAGTCTACTACTTGGTAACGAATGGACAATAGTGCCAGAAGAAACATTCGTACTGTTTTGTGTATAGTTAATTTAGCAAGAAATTATCTGGACATTAAGAAAGTTGGAGTGATGAGGGATCCTATGAAGAACATTAGCAAATGGTATCTGACATGGATACTGCATCGTTATATTCCATACACTCATTCATTCTATCACTCATCCATCCATCCATTCATTCATTCCACAAAAAATCCTTGAGCACCTGCAGTGAGGGGAGCCTCCAGCAGGTGGTGAGGTGTCCACAACCAAAGCTAAAGTGAGTTTCCACCATCTAGAATTTAGACTGAGAAAAAGCAATGCCCATTTTTATAGAAATGATGTAGGTGTTTTTTGTGCCATCCTTTGAATGTAGCACTTTTCTGAGGGATTCCTTTCTCTTTTGGACAGCACCACTTGAAAAAGCTGGAAGGCCGCCGCCTGGATTATGATTATAAAAAGAAGCGAGTAGGTAAGATACCAGACGAAGAAGTCAGACAAGCGGTAGAAAAATTTGAAGAGTCAAAGGAGTTGGCTGAAAGAAGCATGTTTAATTTTTTAGAAAACGATGTAAGTATTTAAACCAAACAGGAAACTTGACTGTCAATGAATAAAAACATTGAATATAACATGCTGAGAAGCTCTAAAGTCTTGTTGTGAAAGTTTCCAGGATTTTCTGTAGTCATGATTTCTCTGCTGCAGAGATAGCTTCAGACATCCAACAAGCCCTCACTCAAATCTAAATCTTGGGGACGACTGTTTATCCCAGGATCGTTTCAGAGATGTGCTCTAGACAACCCTGTGTAGGTGGGGTTGTCTTTGAAGATTGCAAAGTAGGGTGGCCTTTGTATGTGAGGACAAAGCATGTGGTTTCACAGAGGATGGAAAGCCTGGGTCATGTGGTCATTTGCTCAGGCTGAAAAGTTTTACTAAGGCTGAAAAGTACCCTGAGAGGCAGTTGTTTGAGGGAGAGCAGCTCTCTTAGCTAGAAGGAGAGCCTCTTTCTCTGACGCCTTTCCTTGTCATAGTGAACATTCAGAATCTAAATGTGTGGCCTGAGTTTTTCAGCTGTTCCATAGTGATGCTTGTGAACTTAGGGACAGTGAAGTTCCTGGGGCATATCTGTCGAATACCAATATTCTGTTGTACTGTCATTCTTGCCACCAGCCTTGATTGATTTGTCCAAGTGAAGTCAAATGAAATGGAAGTAAGGGGGATGGAGATGGGTGACAGGCAGGCCTCAGGCCAGGACACAGGTGGGGGGAGGTGGGAGCCTCCCTGCTTGGCCTTGATGAGGAGGAGCATTTTGGCACTTTTACTGCCTGAGTGAAAGAGGTTTCAGCCACCTGCCTCCCTCGAGCCCCTGCCCTCAGCCTGGCCTCAGCAAAGCCAGGAGCCGTCTCAGCCCAGCATTAACTTTGGACCAACTCAATAAGCTTTCAAACCTGTGGGAGCAAGACAGGGTATTTATTTATCCCCAAGACTGTGTTGTATTTATAATAGTTTAATAAAAGGTACCCTGAGGTCTTATATCTTTTGTATCAAGTCGAACAAAATTACTGAGCACCTTTTATTTATCAGGGTGATGTGTGGGAGGATTATGTCTAGTACCAACAAGGCATTGATCCTGAATAATTAATTCTAATCAGAGGGGCCAATTTGAAATTTCTCATGTCCATTAAACCATCAAGCTCTGAAAAGTACACTCCATTATGTTTCTCCTTGATAATTTTTTTTTTTACATTTTTTTGGGAAATAGTAGGTGATGTAACAATTCTTTGTTTGTTTTCCCTTAAATTTATACATTTCTTTTTGAAGATGTCCCTGAGCAACAGGCATTTTGTTTTGTTGTGCTTCAGACTGCCATATTTCATTGTTTTGAAGTATTTAGAAACATTTTCGAAGTATGACATATATCAGATACTCCTTATGGGGCCATCACACACGTTGCCCTGCCAACCCCAGGCCCATTAGTGGTTTAAACTCTGAGGTTGTGTTTTGTGCATTAGATGTGTCATCTAACCCATTTGCTCTGTACATTACCTTCATACATGAACCACGAAAATGGTTTTTTGCAAAGTACTCCATCAGGAAAGCCTGTCCCTGCAGCTCTGGCCTTAGCAGTTGACCCAAGAGACCTCAGTTTTCCTCTCAGTATTAGTCAAAAGTCAAAAATGATCCCTTCACTATAAAAACTCAGTCACTTGTCCATGTTTGGATAGTGAGCAAGCAGGGACACCTCCCCCAGGCCTGCATGTTGCCTAAGTATTCTGCTTGTCATAAATGGGTGAGCCCCTCCTACCCTGCCCTGGTAGAAGTAAGAGCTGGTTCTTCTCCCAAGCTCCACAGGGGCCCTGGTACAGTGTTTCCCCTAAGGCTTCCTGTGGGGAGTTGACCCTTGGGTAAGCGGGGGTTGCCCCTGTTCGGCTCTGAGGATCCTGGGCTGTGCCCTCCGCCTGGATCCTGGGATCTACACCTCCACAGGGCAGGCTGCTCTGGCTGGCATCAGGGTTAGCCTTCTACTTCTGCCTACCCCTCTGACAGAAGCCCCTGAAAACTTGCCATTGAGGTGGGAGGAGACCAAGGTAATGAAACGGCGAGGAACTGTCCAGTTTGCCTGGAAACTAGGCTCCTTCCCTTCCTCCTTCCTTCTTCTTTTGGGCTGCCTGTAGCTGCAGTGGCTATGGCTGCTGGTTCTTGAAGTCAGGATGGTGGTGGTGATAAAGACTTTGGTGTTGGTAAGGATGATGATGATGACGATAGTGACAAGAGCTACCATTTGCTGACACCCCATGACAGAGAGACTAAGGGGGTGTCTGTGATGGTCTCTCATCATGGAGCACTTGTGTTTACCTTTTCCCCTTCCCAGAAGGAGATCCACAATCGATGATGTAAACCTTAGAAAATCATCTTCATTTTCTTCTTGGGGACAACAGCAAGAAGGGCACCACCTTGTGCTTTTCCATGGCAGTGTGTCTGTGCTGTGGCCAAGTAGTCTGACAATCCCCTCCTGTTGACCAGGCAAGGTAGAGAAAATCTTCTCTGGTTCAGCCCTTGGACTTGACATGCCAATACTGCCTGGTGCTTGGGGGATAAACAGAGGATGTGACTTGTTCGGAGAAATACAAAGTGCCAGCACATGGTGATGGAGATGTACATTCAACCCTCCTCCCTGTCTTTGGTCCATCTCCAACAACCAGGCCAGGGCAAGTGGTTCTGCAGCCCATGGGACTCTGGCTTCCTGCTTCCTTTGGGTCCTATGTCCAGCCATAGTTAGTCTCTTATTGCCATGTTCCTTCCTTTCATTGCAGCAAAGCTCTCTCTGCATGAGGATCTGTGCTTCAGGATGGCTGGTGAGGTCAGGATTTCCTCCCAGGAACTGATCCTGACATTCAAGATGGCTATGACCTATCTGATTCCCAGATTAAACACAGTGGGTCTGCAGGTCCTGCTGGATGAGTTGGAGAAGAGTCTCTGTTCCCACACTGTAGTCCTTGGTTGTCTTGTCAGGAAATGCTGCACTGGAGACACTAAGAAGCACTTCACTTCTTGCCTGAGGCTGAGTAGCTTCATTATTCTGTTCTGATGCAAGCTAGGAGGAGTTTTGGTCCTCCAGCCTTCCAGGAATCCCAGCGGGGCAGGTCTATGACTGATTCCTTCTGTCGTACCATGCTGGGCCTGGCAAAGTCTGCAACGGCACCCAGGGCAGCCCTCTTCTTGGAGAAGGGCTCTTGTGCCCACCACAATTGCCTCAGAGATGGGAGTACAGGAAGTTAACAGACTGGTTCTGACCCTTCATCACCTTCTTGGGAACAGTAAATCACCCATAGGCTTGTTAACACACTCTCTCCTCTTCTGTCTTTGCAGAGAAGTTTATTCCTCCTAGCTCGACATTAGCAAGTGTAGTTCTTTGACATTAAGATAAATCAGAGATATTGCATAGAAGATGTCTATTTTAGCTCAGGGAGGCCAGGCTCCTGCAGTATTCACCAGCTCTCTTACAAACTCCCCAGCCAGAGAGTCCTCCTTCCATCTGTAGATTCCTAAGACCAGTGGAATTACTAAGAGTCCAGATTTCTGGGATATTTCCATCGGCCTAGAGTAGAATTTTCCAAAATTTATTCCATGGGATGTCAGTGTATGTTGCATTAGTAATGTCTCTATGATCAAATGACTTTGGGAACTCTGGGTTGAATAAAACTAAAAAGGATTCCTTTATCATAGGACTTTTCAGAGTCTTTATATGATAGCATAAAGGATGAATATCTCGAAGTGATTCCTAAAAGAGGATGCTGTTGGCATTTTACCAAACTTATCTGACCATAGAACTCCTCTACATTATTATTATTACTACTATCATTATTAGAATTTCAGGGGACTAGTGATATGTGTAAAAGATGCTTTCGGAAGTACTGGACTAGTAGAAAGCATACCCAACAAGGAATGAAATACCCTGAATTCTGTTTCTGCTTTGGCTTCTGCTAAGCTATATGCCTCTGGGAAGTCACTTTCACTGGACATGTGTCGGGTTCATGAGCAACTGCATTTGAGAAATTCTTTAGAAATAGAAAGTAGAGAATACAAATGTAAGGGATTATTATCCAAATTATTGACTTACTTATTTTACCCAAACTTTCTTAGAAACTCCGAATAAAGGCCTTTGACCCATTGGAAAAAATATCTATGACCAGACTGCAAAATTCATGAGAAATTTTCCTCCAAGAAATTTTCCTGAGGAATCCAAAAAGAATGGAAGTCTTTGATACGATACAGCAAGAAATTCCTTGTATTATCACAATTTAAATTGAAGATGGCCTCTATTAGAAGTGTGCCATTTCAATTGCGAAAGGGAATATTTGTCTTTCAGCGGTGTGCATTTCTTTATTCATATACCTTTCAATGATGTACATTTCTTTATTCAAGCACACTGCAGATCCCAGGCATCTAGGTAGGGCATCACCTATTCACATCATAGTTATCGCTTTGTTCTGGCCATGGGCTTCAAAAGTGGGCCGCTCTTTGCCTACTTCCCTGGCTGCTCCTCAGTTCCCTGCTAAAAGATTGCTGAAAGGTCTGAGGAGGAGAGTTCTCAGCACTGTTTCTTCTTAACCACTCGTTTCCACAGTCTTCTTGCAGAGAGGACTTACTACAATATGCCATCTTCTGACCCATTCTTCCTTTGGGTACTGCCCAAGTCCTTTGTAGTTAGTCCACAAGATCAGACCAATGGCTTAGATCCCACTCAAGTGTCCCTGGGATTTCCGCAACTCCTAGGAACTTCTAATGTTCCTAATACACTGTAGTTAGGGACATCTGTTCTCTGCTAGGGCTAAGATACTCCCAAGAGCCTCACATGCTACTAATCATTCATTGGTTTGCAGCTAATGAGAGGTTGTAGAATTAAATGCATCCATAGGTGACACACAGGTTGTTATGCATTGTGTAGCAAGACTGCCACAGGAAATAAATTGAGTCCATCCCTGTTTTGGTGTTACCCCTGCAAAGAGGATGAGGAGCCACGAGTTACAGCCAAGCCAGCAATGAAGTTCCCAGGCTCACCCACAATGGGCTCGTATCCCCATGAGCTTGGTTGCTATGAGTCTCCAGGCAACAAGTCTCATGTGCCATAAACAGGGGGCCTTGGCCAGCACTAATCCCATTGATATATTTTGCTTGGTTTGAGAATGGGCTAAAGCAGCTCTGTATTAATTTCCTATAGCTACTCTAACAAATGACCACAAACAGTGTAGCTTAAAGCAACAGAAATTTGTTATTTTACAGTCAGCCTGGGGGTCCTAAAATCAAGGTATTGGCAGGACTGCATTCCTTCTGGAGGCTCTAGAGGAGACATCTGTTTCTAGGCCTTTTCAGCTTCTATAGGCCACCTGCATTCCTTGGCTCCATGGCTCATTCTTCGCCTCCTCAGTCTTCACAGTCAGTAGCATAGCATCTTCAAATCTCTCGCTCTGACCTTAGCTTCCATTGTCATGCCTTCTCTGATTTTAACACTTCTGACTCCCCCGTAAAGGATCTTATGATTACATTGAGCCATCCAGACAATTCAAATAATCTCCCCATCTCCAGGCCCTTGGCTTAATCATATCTGCAAAGGCCCTTTTGCCATTAAAGTAACATATTTGTAGGTTTGGGGAATTAGGACTTGGACATCTTTGCAGGGGCCATTGATCTGTCTACCATTGGCTCTCCCTGGTTTTATGCTTCTGTACGTCTCCCTGGTAGCTTTGTGGCCTTTCCACACAATTGTCAGCCACGAAGACCTATGCCTGGCTGTGCCTCCTTGACCTTTAATTCCCACAGAAGACTGTCTGCATTATGAGTTTCTCACTTTAGGCATCTGCTGAGTGTCAGTCCATCTGGAGCAGCTAGTGGGCTTCACTTTCAGAAAAGGGAGCTAATCTCTAGTGTGCCTGTTCCCCTGTGTGTGTCATGTGGACATACCCATAGGGTAAGGTCATACTTGCTCTCAAGATGGAACCAGCAGAGCAGCAGCCCTGGTCTCAACCTGGAAGTAGAATTAAGCCTTTATTCTCATCCCAGATAACCTTCTCCTATTCAACAGATGGATTACCCAACTGAGTGGTGTGGCCAATGGAAGAAATGTTTTACTTTCTGGACAGGTTTTGGCTCTTGCAAGACCTGAGTTTATTGCTTTCTCTTGGATCTGCCTGTCTTGGAATTTAATTCTAATTGTGGTTTGTGGAAAGCTGAGTCCACTGTGCTAATTCCCAGCACACAGCTCTTCTTATGAGCTAGGGGATAGCTAGAAGCTTCTATTTTCTGGCAGTGAGAGGAAAATAGTCCACTGTGGCACCACCTATCTTCATTGTCAATAAGAGAGACTTACAGCCTAGTAGCCACCACCTCAGGACTTGCACTGAGCACCCACAATAACACTGCTATTGTCTCCCAAGGTTTAAGGGACTTCAGGATTTATTTCCTTCCCAAAGTCAGCCACCAAATGAATAGTTGCAAATGCATCTCCAGATTATATAATCTTGTATTTTAGCCACATCAGAGAGAATAGCTGGTGATCCACCCACTTCCCCAGCCCCACATACATTTCAAGGAATGTTCATTTAGCTCTCTTTCACTGTTTCTTTAAAAATTATAAAACGTCAACCATATTTCAAAGTGGGTAACAAAATAGGACAAATCAGTTTTACTAAAGACAGAGGGATGGGGTACATATTTCACCAAGCACACACTCCAGTGTTGTAAAGAAGAAAAATTCTTTCTGTAGCAAATTCTATCGTGATCATGTTAGGCCATGGCGCTGGACTTATTTAAAAGTATGTGTAAAAGCCAAAGAGGTGAAATTTAAGAAATCCTTAGGATTTTGTAGGGGCCAGGCTGTCTTTGTTTTGTTTATTGGGTTTTTGGAAATTTAAGGCTAGGCTTGTTGCTTTTCCAGCCACAGATCGTGGTAAAGTAAACGTAACCCAACAGGATTTCATTGTTCAGATGCTGATCACAGCTTGGCACAAGTGGAGTTCCATGTATATCTTAAATGCATGTTGAGCCTGTGTTTAAAATAGCAGAAGTGGGTAAGAAAAATTAAAGTACAGGCAGCTAAAGAATGGTTTGCATCTACAAAGGAAAACAACTTGGATCTTTGAAGGCAAACAAGTTCATGGTTGGTTAGGCAGAGCGAGAATGTATGAATGAATAAGCAGGAAGATTTTGCCTTAAAGTTGATTTGAGAATGAAGTATGGAAATGATGCATGGACTTAAGGGGAGCCTGGGAAGGGTGAGGTTGATTTTGATTTGTGTTTTTATCCAGATCTGAAGTTCATGGAATTCATGCTGGGAGTGGGCGGGGGGGAGGTGGTCCCATCACCTCAATCCTCTGGGGCTTGCTTCTGGGACTTCTAGAAATAAGCTTCACGAATCTGTTTCCTGAATCAGCCCCTCAGACATGTGGGGAAGCAGAGTAGCTCTCAGGGCTTCGTGGAGAATACGCTTCCTCAAATTACAAACCCCAAGTCTTCTAGGCTTTTTCTACATGATGTAACTTTATTTTATTTTTTTGAAGCAGACTTTCACTCTGTCCCCGAGGCTAGAGTGCACGGGTATGATCGTAGCTCACTGCAGCCTCAGCCTCCTAGGTTCAGGTGATCCTTTGATCCTTCTACCTCAGCCTTCCATGTAACTAGAACTAGAGGTATGCACCACAAGGCCTTGCTAGTTTTTTTATTTTTTATTTGTAGAGAGAGGTGTTGCTATGTTGTCTAGGCTGGTCTCAAACTCCTAGGCCCAGGCAATCCTCCCACCTCAGCCTCTCAAAGTATTGGGATTACAGGATTGAGCCACTGTGCTTGGCCTTTTTTTTTTTTTTTTTAACATCCACCCTAAGTTGGTCCCTAATTTCATGAATGTCTTGATTTGTGGGAAACAGCGATACAGTATCTTTATAGTTTATGCCTTTTGGCTATATGTTTCAGGGAAAATATTTTGTGTTGATAGCAGCAAAAACATATAGGGGGCTGGCAAATCTTTGCCCAAGTGCACGTTGCCTCCTGCCTGCTTTTCTTACCTGAGAACAATTTATTTTACTTAATGTCTTGATTTGGCTTAGCTGGAAAGTGCCCGTAGAGACACCTCACTAAGTATGTAGTTCCTTTGCTAAATGTTGGCTTTCCTTATGATTGGAAAATCTTTATCTCTCTGCTTTCAGATTCATGTGCTTTATAGCACAGAAATCTCCTGAGAAAATCATCATTTAATTGGGAAAACAGTCATTTTATTGAGTTAAATTACATTGATAATCACAAATAAATTTGAACAAGTTTTTCCAGCATATACAGCTCTTTACCGTGACCTGTGTGATTATTATGCAGGGCTCCAAGATGAAATTAAATGAAATGGACCAGAGCCGAGGCAGATGCTGGGCTTCCCTGCAAAGCTGGGTCTCTGTTGCCGGTCATTTCTCTCTCTGGACATTACATAGTCTCTGGTCTCTATGGAGTAATTTTCCACTTCTGCCACAGGTAGAACAAGTCAGCCAGTTGGCCGTGTTCATAGAAGCAGCATTAGACTATCACAAGCAGTCCACAGAGATTCTGCAGGAGCTGCAGAGCAAGCTACAGATGCGGTAAGGACTTTTACGTTCCTTATAAGGAACTGCCAAGACAGCAGACATCAAGCATCAATTGAAATCAGTCTCTCTGTCTGTCTGTCTCCCCATCTCCCCCTTCCCTCACCCCATCCTGTTTTGAATTTTCTTTTGCCAGCTTTTCTGGTTGAGACTTTTATGGTGAGATGAGGCTGAGATAATAAGAACTGGTCTTGGCCAATAGGGTCAGACTAGGAAAAGAGATTCTGGCAGCTTTTCTTCTTTTATTTCCATTAAGGCCCTATTTTTTGTGATGTGTGTTTAAGGCAAGCAAAGTTGCTCACCCCCTTAGAGATCAGCCCTGACAGAACTGTCCCAGCTTCACTGCTGATATGATGAGAATTTATTTCCCCATTCATGAGCTGGGGGTGGTGACGATATGCACCCCCTTCACAACTTCTAGGGATGTGGACAAGAGTGAGATGAAATTCAGAAAATATGTAGATATCTGTAAAAAAAAAAAAGACATTTTATTTCACCAGTAAGTACCAGGCTGTGTTCATAATATTGACTCTAAAAGATATTAAAAGAGTCAAAAATACCTTCTGGACAATCTAAGGAAGGTTGCTGTGTTCCTTGTGGCTTCCATGATAAATGTATTCTATACTTTTCTGAAAATTAGGAATATCATATAAATATTATGGAAACCCTGTTTATTAAAATAGTGGGTTAAAAATACCCTATTTTAAAAAATCCCCTAATTTTAAAAATCAGGCTTGATAACAGAAAATTGTTTTAAGCAGGATGATGGTGATAACTGTGGGGGAATGTTCGCTTACATCAATGGCTTAATGACAGAGGGAAGACAAAAGTTGTATCCAGTGTCTGAAGCACCCACTTCTGTAGGCCGATAGTTTATCTATTGCTCATAGGAACATATTTTCAAAATTCTGTCTCCATAATAGAGAGAAAAGGTAGCTCATGCTGAGTGCCTGCCACATCCTGGACACTTGCTAAATGCCTCAGAAACTTGATGAGGGCATATCATCTTCTTCGAGATGAATTTCACTTACAAGCTCAAATAGATGATTGAGAAGCTACATCTGGAATATAACCTCTATCACTTTGGGCTATTCAAGAATCAGAGTGCAAAAACCATTCCTCATGACCACCACCTGTAATCCTAGTTCCTGTGTTCATTGAGGCAGAGTGAATGTACATTTGAAGGCTTTGCTTTCTTCATCAGATATCTGACTCATCTCGTAATGTGTGTTTTAGAATATCAACTGCATCCAGTGTCCCCAGACGAGAATACAAGCCAAGGCCCATGAAAAGAAGTTCTAGTGAGCTCAATGGAGTTTCCACCACCTCTGTAGCAAAGACAACAGGTAAGTTGACTATCCTAAGTGGCTAAGTGTGCCCTTTAGTAAAGCACTTCTAGAAGCATTTATCTACTATTTGTTGCAGGGTCAGTGAATATACTGAGACTCTGAAATTCTTTCTTATGGTTTGGTGAATCCCATTTTCCTTTCAATAATTCCCTTTGTTTCCTGTTCCCAAGGGAGAATTCCCTTATTGCCGTTTTGTTTGTTTGTTTGTTTGTGTTGAGTTGGAGTCGCACTCTGTCACCCAGGCTGGAGTGCAGTGGCACACTCACGCCCACCATAGCCTTGACCTGCTGGGCTCAGGCAATCCTTCTGCCTCAACCTTCCAATTAACTGGAACTACAGGAGTGTGCTAACTTATTGCCTTTTCATGTGGCAATTAGTACCTTGGCCATAAAACCATTATCGCTACACCTTTCTTTATATTTATTATTTTAATACTTCTAAAAAATTTTCCTAATTTTTTTCTTTAACTGCAGTGCTTTTCAAGGTAAGACCCCTCCCTAATTAATTTTTTAAAGTGGCATTTGTCTTACATATATACACCTATATACATATATATGGCACTGTTATATATATGTTATATATACCAGGAGTACCAAAAAATGTATACACATTTTAAGAGATGTTCACCATAATCAGAAGTGTCTGGACTCTAATGGTAACTATTTTGAACACCTCTTGTAATTGTAGAAGTCAAATATGACTTGTATTCATCTTATTGAGTATTACAGTTTTAATAGAGTTTTTTCCTTTCTTAAAATGTGTGTGCCTTTTTTGGCACCCTCTGTATATTAGGCACTGTCTTAAGAGCGGCATCATTTTTAACTTAAACAAAAGACACAAATAGGTTCTTGAGTAAAATAATCAAACAGAAAAAAAAATTAAATGGTATAAGTCATTCTAAAATCTCTTGCAATCACCCATTCATCCCAGTTCCCTTCTTAGATGTAGTGACTGTTAAAAATCTGGTATGGAGCCGGACTCGGTGGCTCAGTCTGTAATCCCGCGCCTTGGGAGGCTGAGTTGAGTGGATTGCCTGAGTCTGCGGATTCGAGACCCGCCTGGGCAACTTGGCGAGACCTCATCTCTACAATAAATCAAAAAATTAGCCGGGCGTGGTAGCGCGCGCCTGTAGTTCCAGCTACTTGGAAGGCTGAGGCAGAAGGATCACTGGAGCCCAGCAGGTCGAGGCTGCGGTGGCCGGGAGCAGCCATTGCACTCCAGTCTGGGTGACAGAGTGAGACTCCAACTCAAAAAAAAAAAAAAAAAAAAATCTGGTATGAATATTGTCATGTCTATCTGTGTGTATATACATACACATATACGTATACATAGTTTCAGATATTTTTCTGCTTTTAAAATGCAAGATCCTACTAAGTATATGGTTCTGCAGTTTGCTGTTTCAAACGTGTTACTATTTCCTGGAGTTATTTCCACGTTATACATGTAGCTCCGTCCCACTATTTGTAACAGCCTCATTTTCCTATTAGTGAACATTAAGGTTGTCTTCAGTTATTTGCTACAAGAAAAGTCCTTTATTTGCCTCTATATGCTGATGAGCAAGTCTTTCAAGAAAATGAAATTGCCAAGATAGAGAGAATGCACATTTTAAATGATGGTAGATATTGTCAAATTACCCTCCAAACTGGCTACACTCCTGTTAATGTATGAATACCTACTTCCCCACATCCATGTCATTAAACTTATATTTCTGCCAAGCACTCATGGATAAAAAATGGTATCTGATCTTAATTTTCCTTTCCATGATTACTAGGGAGGTTGGACATTTTTTCCTCTATATTTTAACCTGCCATTTGTATTTCCTTGTGTCTGAATTGTCTGTTATGTCATTTATTAGTTTTCCTTTGGGTCATTTGCTTTGTCTTACTGATTTATAAGACTTCTTTCCATATGAGGATATTAATTTTTTTTCCAAATTCATCATTTTCTCTTTAAACTTTACTTATGGAGTGTTTTGTTTGTTGTTTTTTCTGTTGTTATTTTTTTTGTTTAGCTTTTGAGTTTATAGAAGCTTTTACCTTGACGTAGTCAAATTTGTCAACCTTTTTGCTTATGACTTTGATATTCTGTGTACCGTTGAGAAAAATCTTCCTATCCACAAAGTTATTCTTCTATGGTTTTCTTTTACTTATTAAAATATTTTCTTAATACTTAGGTTTTATTTATTTTATAAACTAAAATAAACTGCCAAACTGTCTTTCAGAGTTGCTGCCCTATTTTACATTTGCCCCAGCAATGTATGAGTTTTTCTACATCCCTACCAGCATTTGCTATTGTCATTATGTTTTATTTTAGCCACTTTGATAGGTGTATAGTATATCTCATTGTGACTTTAATTTGCATTTCCTTAGTAACTAATGTTGTTAAACATCCTTTCACGTGTTTATTTGCCATCTGTATAACTTTTTGGTAAAATGTCTCCTCCTGTCTTTTGCTCATTTTCTAATTGTATTATTTACATTTTTGTTGTTGAGTTTTGAGAATTTGTATATATTCTAAACATGAGTCCTTTGAATGTATATGGTTTGCGAATGTATTCTATCACTCTATAGCTTATCCTTTTATCCTCTTAACAAGGTCTTTCACAGATCAAAAGGTTTTAATTGTGATGAAGTCCAATTTGTCCATTTTTCCTTTTATAGATTGTACCTTTGGTATGAAGTCTAGGAATTCTTTGCCTAGCCCTAGATCCTAAAGATTTTCTCTTATGTTTTTTCTTAGATTCGAGATCCATCTGAAGATATTTTTGTTTAAGTGTGAGATGGTTTGAGGTTCATTTATTTTGCTTATGGGTATCCAGTTTCTCTTCCAGAACACACACTGCACTATTAAGCTGTGCAGTCTGAATTTTCTTCCAACCCTATTGGTATCCTTAAAAGTTTTTATACAACTAAAAATAAAAATTATCAGAGTAATTTGTATATATAATTTTAAAAAGAAAATGGTAATATGTGTATGTAGTATTTTTTTTTTTTTTTTTGAGTTGGAGTCTCACTCTGTCGCCCAGACTGGAGTGCAGTGGCCGCTCCCGGCCACCGCAGCCTCGACCTGCTGGGCTCCGGCGATCCTTCCGCCTCAGCCTTCCGAGTAGCTGGAATTACAGGTATGCGCTACCACGCCCGGCTGATTTTTTGATTTATTGTAGAGATGAGGTCTCGCTGCCCAGGCGGGTATTGAACCTGCGGGCTCAGGCAATCCACTCACCTCAGCCTCCCAAAGGCGCGGGATTACAGGCTGAGCCACCGAGCCCGGCTGGGAACCTTTTTAATAACACTTTGTGATGAAGAAAATTGCCAGAGTTGGAAAAAACAAGGAATAATGATGCTATTATGGACTAGTAAAGTGTTGCATGGTACAGCCAACAAAATGCACACTCAAAGCAGTGAGCGGAGTGGAGTGGAAGGATGGGGCACACTCTGTTCTGGTTGGGACTTGAAGTGAGGAAGGCAGCTGGTGGACACAGAGCTTCCCTGGCGGAAGCATAGGTTCTAGGTCTTGAGGCTAAGTCATGAGGACAGGAGAAGCTGGTCAGTACCTTGGGAGCTGCCACCATGGAAGCCACTGCTTTGTGCAGCAAGGCAAATGGACAGGTTCAGGGCCAGCCTCTTGCTACCTGCTGTTCTCCCGAGATGGCTACAATAGCATTTGATGGTTTTTCGACCGTGGGTTATGATCCGTTAGTCACACATGAAAACATCAGAGTACACAGTGAGGATACAGATTCCATGAAACCTTTCTTTGAGTATGTAGGTCAAAGTATCATTCTTACTGTAGTTGAGACCCATGTTTGGAGAGCTGGGAGAGCAATGCCTCTCTCTCAGTCCCTAATTGTATAAAATGCCTCTTATTATTCAGTGTAGTGTCAAAATGAAAAGAATCACATGCTTCAATATCAACCAACAACAGTACCACGGAGAAACTCACACTGTTAATTAAAGTTTATAATGCAAATATGGTATTGACAGTATAAAATTAAAGATATATGAAAAACTCAAGAAAGGTCAAAGGGCATACACGCAAGTAGTATACAGATCATGTCTTTAAAAGATACATTTCAATACACAGGCTAAAATGCAAGAAGATTTTATTATCTTTTGCTTTCCCCCCAAATTTGTGGGTGTAAATGCTTTTAAATATCACCAATAACGTTTATATTTTGGTCCAATACATTAGACTAACTGTATGATCAAGTCCGGCTTGATTACCATAAATCATAGAAGTGAATTTACTTCGAGAATCTGTTGTTCTTATAATAGAGTTAAATTTTTTCTGAGCTAAGTTTACTCAACTTTAGGCTGAGAACCAGACTCAAAATAAGGTATCTTCTTTAAATGGTAAGTCATCATTTTAGGCTCAATCTGGGCAGATTATTTAATACTTTACTGAAGATCATAAAAAAACCTCCACAATAATGAAAAGTGTATGCAAAATCATTAGCTTCTCTTTGCAATACAGAAAATACGTGTCAGTTCTGGACCAAAAAAATTCCACTGAAATACAAAAACTGACAGAAAGAATGAAAAGATTCGTAGTGACTGCTTTTGGTGGCTAGCTACAACAAACTAACAACCATCAGTTATTCTGGAAAGTGAAGGTAGGTCTTAATTTGCAGATAAAGAATGTCTTCGGTAGTTTAAAAAAATATAAACTCTAAAAAAGCTTGTGAACCATATACAAAAGCAGCTGTTTGAGACCAAGGTTGAAAACCAGAATTGTGTTAGCACCACCAGCAAGCACAGGGTCCTCTGACTCCTCCAGCCTCCTACCTTGCACAGAATGCAGCCTTGAACATTGTACATATCATCTACAGTTACACAGTTGGCCTTAAGGAGAGGGTTCCTGCAGGGTAGTCGTAAGCCCTAAGAGGCACCAAGTGGTTACGAAGGCCAGGTAACAAGAGGAATCACAAGTTCCGACGATATAATAAATCCCGTGTTGCCGTATCAACTTTTTGCTGGTAGTCCTCCAATTTGTCAAGTATTTTCTGGGCTAGCTGTAAGAGACAAGAAGGAACTCATTGCACAATAGCTCAAGGATTGAAAAAGATTAACGTTTTTAAGCATCTTGACTCTATCAGTTAGATTCCACCTAAGAAAGATGTCAGCCACTCGGCTTCATATACTCACCACTCAGTATACAAGTTCACTCTAGGACTCTGCTGATAAAACTAGACTTCTCTGTTATACACAACACTTCAATCCTGCTTACCGAATGAATTTTCTTTCCTTTTTTTTTTTGAGTTGGAGTCTCACTCTGTCACCCAGACTGGAGTGCAGTGGCTGCTCCAGCCACTGCAGCCTCGACCTGCTGGGCTCTGGTGATCCTTCCGCCTCAGCCTTCCAAGTAGCTGGAACTACAGGCGTGCGCTACCACGCCTGGCTTTATTTTTTGATTTATTGTAGAGATGAGGTCTCGCCAAGTTCCCCAGGTGGGTCTCGAGCCCGTGGGCTCAAGCAATCCACTCACCTTACAGGCTGAGCCACCGAGCCCGGCTGAATGAATTTTCTAAATACGCAAATTGTGTCATTTTTTTTTTTTTTTAAGTTGGAGTCTCACTCTGTTGCCCAGACTGGAGTGCAGTGGCCGCTCCTTGTCACCGCAGCCTCAACCCGCAGGGCTCCACCGATCCTTCTGTCTCAGCCTTCCGAGTAGCCGGAATTACAGGTGCGCGCTACCACGCCCAGATGATTTTTGATTTATT